GGTAAGGGGTTATGTCGAGAAACAGTGAATTAGTGGTTACCTCTAAGTGGTGAATTTTTAAGAAATTTTACTTCATATTTATACTTTTGTGATTGTCTGAATTTTTAAATGAACCATGCAGTCTTTTCATTTGGGGACAGAAAAGCACAATACAGTCATTATAATGCCTATAAACAAGGGTGGACAAAGCTCTAAGAAATGCCCAAAGACAGAACTGAAAACAAAACGACAATGAGGGTGCAAAAGCCTGGGTTCTAGATATTTTTGACCCGCAGTTCATTATTATTCAGCTTCTGTAACTGTTCCATCATATGTGAATTGCCCAGCTCTAGAATGCTAAAAGGATGTTGGGGTATGCGTGTAACCATCTATTACTAAATATCACTAGGTTCTTAAGTTACCAAGTCAAGATTATTGGGAGTTAATAAACTGAAGAAACAGCAATCATTAATGAATGGCCTGAATGGATAAAAGGAAGCTACTAGGAATATGAAGATACCAAGCACTTTTTTAAAAAAAGAAAGATAAAATGATGAATGAAAGCATAGGCACAAATTTGACATCATTAGGACAGAGAGCTCTAAACAATATGCTGTGAACCAAAAGTTTAAGTAAACACTCTGTCCCCTTTTTGCAGACTCTAGTTTCCTGTCATTGTTTCCAAGTGATTTTTTTCATGTCATCTTCAAGTTTATACTCCATTTTATTTTTATGCTTTTGTGATATATAAGAATTAATATGTATGTTGGTTTTTATACTGCTCTTTCCTGGTACACAGCTCCTAAAACCCTTCAAATTGCCAAAATGATAGATGTCCTTTTGTATACTATTGAGATGACTGGCAGCTAGGGGCTCCTGCATAGTATCAGTATGACGGCTAGTTGCCAGGGGAATCAAGCAGACGGTTGGAACTTTCAGCTTCATCTCTGGACCCCCAGGGAAAGGGAGAAGGGCTAAAGGTTGAGCTGATCACCACTGGCTGATGATTTAATCAATTGTGCCTACTTCATGAAGCCTCCATAAAAACCCACAATGACTGGGTTGAGAGAGCTTCTGGATATCCGAACACTTGGAGATGCCTGGAGGGTGGTGCCCCTGGGAAGGGCATGGAAGCTCCATGCTCCTTCCCACATATCCTGCCCTTTCCATCCTTTCACCAGACTGTTCTGCTGTAGCCTCTGTAATATTCTTTCTAATAAACTGGTAAATGTAAATAAAGCACTTCCTTCAGTTTTGTGACGTTTGAAGCCAAAGGCTGGGCTGGGGCTGTTGCAGAACTCCCAATTTATAACTGGCTGTCAGATGTACCAGAGGCCTGGACTTGCAACTGGCATCTGAAGCAGGGGACAGTCTTTGTGGGACCGAGCCCTTAAATTCTGGAACCAGACTTTACCTCCAGGTACTATCAGAATACAACCGAATTATAGGATGCCTATTTGGTGTCCTCTGGAAAGCTGGCTGGTATAAGAGACCCCCTTGTTTGGTCATAGAAGTGTGCTATGTTGAGTCTGAGAGTAGGAAAAACAGCTTGGTTTTTCTTATACAAGTTTTGAACACAGCAATAGAGTTAAAGAGGTAGCAAGTCCATCAACTCTAATTTCTCTATGCTTCCCACCATAAATCAACTCTCCCAAATCTCTCCTCTAAAGCAGTGCATTCAAAAAGTGAGTCTAAAATGCATATTCTCACCCTTGTCTCCAACTCTAGAGGACATCTTACAGTCTGGAATTCTAACAAGTCCTCCAGATAATTCTGATGCAATTGTTTGTTGCAGTTAAGTAACAGGTAGCAACAATTAGAAAATGCCTTTTATAAAGATCCTCAGCTTTTATTCATTAACCCATGCTAATCATTTTAAAAGGCTTAGGAAAAACAAACCAACATACCTTTTTCCTTAATCGAGCAGCATTTACCAATTCACCATTATGTGCCACAGCTATCTTCCCATGAAGCGTTTCAACAACAAAGGGCTGACAATTTTCTAATTCACACTTTCCTGTAGTGGCATACCTTGTGTGTCCAATTCCAAGATTTGAAACATACAATTTTTTCAAATTGTCTTCAGTAAAGACATGATTTACAAGACCCATTCCCTTGAGAAATCAAAAAGTTCAACTTAGAAAAAAAACAGACTAGTATTGCTAGTGAGTAATAAAAGTCACTCTTCTCTGCTCAGCCAATCCAAATAACACAATGAAGTACATTTAATTTCTCTGTTTCAGAATTCCAATCTAAGAAAAGCCAAAAATAAACAACCTAACTGCAAGAACTGTGAAGCACTTACGTTAAAAAAAAATTATATTGAGGCAAAAGTAACGTAACATAAAATTAACCATTCTTAATAGCGGCATTTAGTGCCTTCACAATACTGAAGTGCTGTGTTTCATAAGATGCTTTTCACTAAAACATTTAAGAACAGATGTACTAAGCAATAAAATTTATCAAGTATAAAAACTAAAATTTGCATTAAAAAAGTCAAAGCATCTTAAAGCATTTGAATATATAATTCCCTATTTGAGTGAGTTGGTCTTAAGCAAAAAATTGTCACCGGGAAAGAAATACATCCTATTTGACAAATGTTAGGATATAAAGTTGAAAGTGACTGATCCAAAGAATATTACTTTCAACTGCAGATTACTTATTCAACTTGCCCCTCCCCATATATTAATGATCATCTGTCTTTTGTTATCTTTGTCATCAACATTTCCTAATGTTCAAATTTACCTTGTGTGATTTGAATGTTGGCACTGAACTGCCGTCACTAGTCACAATACCAGCACTCTCCTGACCCCTGTGAATATAAAAAGATATTGGCTATTAAATCTGCTGATGGATAAGCTTCTTGAAGAATTTTATCAAGCATACTTTCTCAACAAGCATCTATGAACTTAGTGTGACAACACATTAAATGCTACTTGTACTAGCACTACTTCTATTGATGATGCTGATGCTGATGATTAGCAATCACAGATGACAATGTAACAATTAGATATATTATCTAATTCTAACATGCCAGGTAGTCTGTCCTAAGCATTTCAAGTTGTAAAAATAAATAAAAGCCGCTGGAAACCCAAATATACTTTAAGCCTTCAGAGAGAGATAACTGTGATCCGAGTCACATATGGTTACAACTTGTTTCTCAGATTATAGATTAACTCACTTTCTTATTTTTCTTGTTCTATACAGTGACTAGAGAGAATTAAAAGACACCAGAGACAATAACCTCCTGCCTTCTCAATTGATGACCTTTGTGAAAGATTAACTTCTACTTTGTTGTCCTGCTTTGCTTAGACCAAATGAAAGAAAACCCATTCACAATTACATCCTCTGTAAAAAATATTAAAGGTACCCTTCCCAAAAGAAATGCTGCCTATAACTAATCAAACTGCTGTAACTGTGCGCTAACCATGTATGAAAAATGTTGTGATTCTGCTAAAAACTCCTCTGTCTCTACTATGAAACGAAACCTTAACTTTCCTACTTGGCGATGCTGACTCCATTCGTTGCAGTTGGTGTTTCCAGGTGGGTCATCCTCAAACTTGGTGCTTGAATAAACTCTCTTTAAAGTAGATTCTGATCCTTTTAATTATTTAGGTTGATGGCATGAGTGATCTGATTTGGCTTTCACAACAATCTTATGAAGTAGGTACTATGATTACCACACCCATTTTATAGATAAACACACTAAAGCAATAGAAAGGAAGTTACTTTCCCATTGTCACACAGACAATGGTACAGCCAGGATTAGAACTTGGATAATCCAGCTCCGGCTTCTAACCCCTATACTTTTTCACCTCTAAATATGGCTTCAACAGGATGAGTATGTAGATGTAAATGAAAATCTCCAAATATAATAGAGGCATAGTTGGTACTGAAACTGTAGCCATTTTTTTTGTGCTTTTCTGCATTTTCCAAATGTTTTCCAATAAATAGCACTTTTGTTATCAGAAAAAAATTAATGTCACTTCTGAAAACCCTCTACTGACCAGGGACCCTTTCCCACGTCTGTGTCTGATTTCCTGCCTCAGTGTTTTTAAGTGGTGATACACAGAAAAAGGCCAAAATTAGACTGAAGGTAGGGCAAGACATAGTAAACACTGAGAGCATCCACACCACTGTGCAGTATACTCTTATCAAGGTTCCAACTGCTTTACAATTTTTAATAGTTCTGAACAAGTGCTATAAATTGTAGATGTTATTGACCAATGTTTGTTCCAAAGAATATGTATCAGTATAGAAACAAAAAGTAAACCTCTTCCATATGTGCCTGTAGACTTTAGTAGCTGTTAATACATTGATTTATTTGGTAAAAAGAAAGTTTTTTCAAAATTATATATTGCAACTGTTGCAGCGTTTTATTAACTCGAAAAACTACAACATTAAATACGTTTGCCAAGTAAAACTCTAAAAAAAGTGGCATAATCATGGCTCACAGAAGCCTAAAGAAATGATTTTGGTAAATGCACTAAATACTCAAAATAGATGTGCATAATACTATGTACCATATGGAACTAAATAAATTGTGACTTAGCATGTCTTTTATTTAGTGAAATGCTGTGGGGTCTGTAAGTTAACCAATGTTAGAGGACTGAGTGATTCATGTCAGAGGGAATATTATTAACATTGGCTATAAACCTCTGGGCAAAAAGAACCTCTGCTAACCATGTTCAAAACAATTTTTAAAAATCAATAATCATTTGCTAAAACAGTAAATTATGTAAGAAAAGAAATAAACAAAAAATGGTTTTCTTTCCCTTTTGTCTCAAGGGTAAGTTTTTCCTTCAAGCTGAAATGAGTATGGTTAAGAATCATTTAGGTTCAGGCTTCTTTAATCACAAAGCCTGCTTATTTGGCAGTTTCTCAAGTTACTCCCTCAGGCAGCTTGAACCAGTTAAACTAGATCCTTTCAGCTCTTTGGAGCTTATTGACAACCAGCCGTCTGGTTTCCTAGGAAACAAAACCTTGGCTAGAAATAGTGAATCATTTCCAGGTCATTTTCAACATGGAGAGTGGAGCAGGAAAGCACTGGACTAAGGAGGAGGTTAAAGCTTTGCTAAGTGTCTGGGCAGAAAAAAATATACGAAAACAACTTTATGGAACACTAAGAAATAAAGGAATATTTATTTATATTGCTAAAAGGCTGCAATCATTAGGAGTACACAGAGATTGGAAACAGTGCCGGGCTAAGTACAAAAATCTCAAATATGAATATAGAACAGTTAAATATGCCCATAAATCTGGAGACAGCTCTAAAACTATGAAGTTCTTCCATGATTTGGATGCAATCCTGCAATATGAACCTACCACACAATTTACAGAGGAAGATGCAAATGGCAGGTGCCTGGAAACGCTCAGCCCAAGTACAGCCCCAGAGACCACTGAAGGTAAAAAGAAAAAGTACTCTTTGTTTTTCTTTTGTTTTACAGTTTTACCAACTGTAAAAGTTCAGGACTTCTGAGGCCATATGATAAATATAGACTGAAATATCAAGACTGAGAAAAATAACTCATTTATTATGCTATTTTCCACAAGGTTAAGAATAAAAAGAGGTTAAATATTACAACTTAAAAAAAATCTGTATAAAATACAGAAAAAAGCACATTAAAATGGCACTGCTAGTGCCAACTGCATGTAATATGTTTTTGAAATATGGATTGGGTTCTAAAAACTGCTTAAGTTTTAATTTTGTAAGAGTGGCAGAAAAGGGTTAAAATATCAAAAACATCGCTCAGCTGATGTTTTCCCACAGCTCGAAACAACAGAACTTTTCTCCTTTATTTTAGTGTTTCCATTTTCCTAAATTTATAAATAAAAGCACATTTAAAATAACTGTTCAACACTATTTCATTACTTGTTTAGAAGAACAGCTCAGTTTTAACAATGAAGTAAAATAAAGATTTAATAGATGAAATGATCTGAGACTAAATGATTTAGAGGGGTTTCATGACCTACTGTGTTGTTAAACCCAGTACTATTTACATAGAATCTGCTCATTGTCTTTAGAAGCATTAATAGGCAAAAGGAGGGAAATGAATGACAGTAATGAGATTTCTATCACAATAGAAATTATAGATGCTATTTTTAAGAGCAGAATTATTCAAGTATCCGTAATACCCACTATCTGTGTGTACTATGGGCAAAGCACTCCTCAAAAAGGATGGAACTACAAATAAATTTAATACCTGAGAGAAAATAGTAACTAGTATAATAAAAGTACCAAATGTGAATGGGGTTAAGAGGACAAAGATTACAACTGGTTAAGTTAGCTAATTTTCATACTTACAGCTCAGAAACAAATCATTTTGTTAAAAGAAGAATCCACCCTGCCTACACTCTTTCCATTTCTGAGATGACACCAAATTCTGAGATGACACTAAATTCTGAGAAAGCTTTGCAGTTATTATCATGTTCAACAGCAAGGACATTATTTTATTCAGTTAAACATCCTCAGCTTTTCATCATTTAAGTGTTTTAAATATTGATTAATAAATAAGTAAATCACTTAGCTTCTGAACATCCCCAATTTTAACCAGGAGTTGGTCTGATGAAGATGTGGATGCCAGTATCTCCACTTCTTAAAAGCAATCTTCAGCCCTTTCATGTACTCCCTTGGCTCCAAACTCCTTCACTCATAAACAGAGGGACTATACTTACAGTTTAACCATGTATGTTTAGGTACCTCAAACCCCCAATTCCAAAATCAAACTCTCTCCCCATCATTTTTTTTTAAGAGAGAATGTTTTACTCCTGCCACCCAAGCTGGAGTGCAGTGGCGCAATCTCGGCTCACTGCTGTCTCTACTTCCAGGACTCAAGTGATTCTCCCACTTCAGCCTCCTGAAAAGCTGGGACTATATGGGCATGAGCCACCATGTCCAGCTACTTTTTTGTATTTTTAGTAGAGATGTGGTTTAACCATGTTGCCCTACCTGGTCTTGAACTCCTAGTCTCAAGAGATTATCCCACTTCAGCCTCCCAAAGTGCTGGGATTACAGGCATGATCCACCATGTCTAGCCCAAATTTGATCCTCATACAAACTGCTTCCACCTTAGCATCACTATATTTCCAATCATTTATATAGAAACGTTTGAGATATCCTTGATTTCTGGTCAGTCACTAAGTCTTTAAAAAATCTGGTGACATACTACATAAAATTTTCTCTCTGCTCTATTCTCATTATGACTAACCAGAACTTCATCGTCTCCCATATGGACTATTAATGTAACCTCTTTACTGGGCTCCCTAGTTTTCAACCTCTTCCCATACACTTTCCACAATGCCTCTAGTTGTTATTTACATTTTTTCAATTATAAAATTACAAGCACATTAACATCTTGGTTGCATTAAAAATAATCTTTATACCCATGATTCATCATGATTTAAAATTAAATATGGGCCGGGCGCGATGGCTCAAGCCTGTAATCCCAGCACTGTGGGAGGCCGAGGCGGGTGGATCACGAGGTCAGGAGATCGAGACCATCCTGGTCAACATGGTGAAACCCCGTCTCTACTAAAAATACAAAAAATTAGCTGGGCATGGTGGCGCGTGCCTGTAATCCCAGCGACTCAGGAGGCTGAGGCAGGAGAATTGCCTGAACCCGGGAGGCGGAGGTTGCGGTGAGCCGAGATCACGCCATTGCACTCCAGCCTGGGTAACAAGAGCGAAACTCTGTCTCAAAAAAAAAAAAAAAAAAATTAAATATGAAAAACAATGGTTCTATAATATTTAACTGAGTTCAGGTCTTCATCCCACCTCATGCAAATAATACTGCAATTAATAACTTGTCAATTTTTAGCATTATTACCCTAGGACACAAGCTCTAATACTGATTCAGGGGGGTATAATTACTTTGGGTTTTTTGTTGGTTTTTTTGTTTGTTTGTTTTGCTTTGTTGAGATGGAGTCTCACTCTGTCACCCAAGCTGGAATACAGTGGTGGGATCTCAGCTCACCACAACCTCTGCCTCCCAGGTTCAAGCAGTTTCCCTACCTCAGCCTCCCAAGCTGGGATTAGAGGCACAAGCCATCACACCCAGCCAGTTTTTCTATTTTTAATAGACACAGGCTTTCACCATGTTGACCAGGCTGGTCTTGAACTCCTGTCTTCAAGTGATCCTCCCAACCTGGCCTCCCAAAGTGCTGGGATTACAGGCCTGAGGCACCACACCCGGCTATTACTTTGAAACAAACATTATTTCTAAAATAACCGCCTTCCAAAAAAACTGTACTTCATTAGCCATGGAAAGAAGGGACTTTCCAAATTTAATAAATAAGGTTTTAGGCCAGGTACAGGCTCATGCCTGTAATCCCTGCACTTTGGGAGGCAAAGGCGGGTTGATCACCTAAGGTCAGGAGTTCGAGACCAGCCTGACGAACATGGTAAAACCCATCTCTACTAAAAATACCAAAAAATTAGCTGGGCATGGTGGTGGGCACCTGTAATCTCAGCTACTCAGGAAGCGGAGGCAGGAGAATTGCTGAATCCAAGAGGCAGAGGTCGCTGTGAGCCGAGATCTTGCCATTGCACTCCAGCATGGGCAAAAAGAGCAAAACTCATCTCTAAATAAATAAATTAGGCTAATTTAAGAAACAATGGCCTATAATGATACACAAATTGTTAACTTTTAATTTGCATTTGTTTAATTACCAGTAAGGTGGAACACTTTTGTATACATTTATTCACTTTTACAAACTGTTCATGTCAATTGGGGTTCTTAGAAATCTGCATGACTTCTCTTGCCTTATGATTTATTTGACCTGTAGAATCCAGAAATTTTTAAGGTAATCAAAGCTTTCTCCCTAAAGCTCAGGAAGCCCTCCTTGCATCAGGTTTGACTCATTATATAATGTCTTCTGGTTTTTCCTACGGTGGAACCAGCAGAATTTTTAATAGTGTGAGATAAACTGAAGAAGGGAAGAAAATATAAGTGCCTTTTCCACTGTTGGGATCAACCTTATGCAAGTGGTAAGGAGAAGCTACTTGTTAGGCAGCAAGCAGCCAGAGCCAGAGCCATGGCAAAGGACCCAAATACACTTTTGACCAATTCTAGGAGGCTTCATGTTCTGCTAAATCTGATCATCCTCAGCCTCAGGATTCCTTTGGCCTATGCTGCCAAGCCACATTCCTTCAGTGGTCAGGTTTCCCCTCTATTTCACTCCTCTTATTCTATACAAATGCATTGCAAGTAATGATTTAAGTGTTTCAGTTTAAAATCCCCAGAGCCTCTGCCTACAGTTTTAGGATTCATGCTACGGAATAAGCAACTTAAGAAAAAATTCCCTGAAGAGGTTGGAGAGAGAGCTTTTCTGTTTCGCTATCATCTGTATGTTTGGTCCAGACTCTTTTCTATGGTGGTAAATCTAGACTCTAAACCAGGTAAGAGAAGAGAAACCTTGCCTTTCTTTACTGCTCTCATACTTAAGCTTGGGTGTTAAATAACCTGAGCATATTAGCATTTTCCCGTTTCTGTAAGATAATTCTTACATAACTCCAGATTTTTATTTTCCCTATTTTCAACCAAATCTATAACATTCCTCAACTACATTTTAGCCTCAAGCAATTATAAAACCTGATTTTAAATTTTTGAAAATTTTTACCTTATGAGTTTATAAAAATATTGAAAGCTGTGAGGTCTTTTTGTACTTATGTTTATTTTTCATGTTTTACTACTTTAACATAGAAACCCTAATAAACTTTTTAAGATGATAAACAGCCTACCTTTTCTTTTTCTTCAATGGGAATGCCTGTAAACATAATGGTGAATCATGATTTTAAATGAATGTTCATGGCATTAAAATCACACTAATGTGATCTGTTAATGCAAAATACAATGCTACTTTTGTTATTCAGTGAAAAAGAATTAGCAAAACATTTGGAATTGAGATGACTAATGAGATGAGTAAATTTTTAATAGAAACATTACAAAAAGCAATCGAAAGATACTTATCTACCACCCGGTTAGTCTGCAACTTCACTGTAATTATAATTCATCCTCATGTGTCAATTGAGTTAAAAATCATATAAGTTGGGTTCCTTTCTAAGATGTGCTTCATCCTCCTCATTTGATCACTTTACTATATATATATATATTTTTCTAAGATGGGGTTTCACCATAATGGCCAGGCTGGTCTTGAACTCCTGACCTCAGGTGATCCAACCACCTCGGCCACCCAAAGTGCTAGGATTACAGGCGTTGGCCACCGCGCCCAGCCTATTGATCACTTTAAAAAGTAGCCTCATTTTATGAAAGCCTATATAAAAGCATCCAAACTATAAAACAAGGAAATCAAAGGAGGACTTCATTTTTTATGGTTGGCATGGTTCTTTTAAATGACATATTCCTTAGTCTATTTAAATATAATTTACATTAACTTCTTGAAAATTAGTATGTTTCAATCAATAAATTACATAAAGTACTTATGAACTCTAAGCTATTTGATTATATGCACCAATAAAGCTGCATTTTCTAATTATCTATCTCATTGCAGGACCCCTCTTTTACACTACTGGTATTATTTAGCAAGTGCCTACTCTGTTAAAGCACCCAAGATACAATTAAAAATAAAATGCCACATTTTAAAAATGTAATTTAACTTGAAAACTAACTACAGCCATCTCTAAAAACTTACAGAATTATCAAACAATTCTAGTAGAAGTCCAAAATAGACTATGTCAATGAGATGGAAAAAATTAGATTTCTCTTTAAATACATAAATATTTAAACCATATTACACAACTCTGTTACAAAATGTCTACCACAAATCTATTTTCAAGAATATGATCACAATTAGCTAAAGCTATTAGCATTATTAATCATGTTATTTCTAAAGGGAATTCTGTTATATTTCCAGGTAAAATGTCAATTGCATCAGAAGATAACGAAGACGTCTCAGGAAATTCTTTACTTTTGGTTTCTCATGTCAGACCAGTGGAACTAGGTACAGTATATGGGTGAAACAGAGTGAAATTGATCTAATTTCAAACTGGAAGATAAGATTGGTTTCTAATCTGAGAAAATGAAGAATTTTTCCTGGAAGAAACACTCAGAATTAATGTATGTTTTCCTCCCTTTTTACCAACCCACACTGAAAAAAATTATTTCTAAAGCAAATTATTTCTTTACCAAATTTAAGTTTCCTAGAAATATTGGTTCTCTAATTTCTAAACTTAACTCTTTAAATATTATAAGAAATCTGATGACTAAACTTACAAATAGTAATGAGCATGATTACTTTAGTGTCGAGGCAAGGGATTAAGACAAACAGAATTTTATGTTTGAAAGTAAACATCAGAGCCACAACCAGATCAAGGGTAATTTTAGTCACCCAACAAATTAAATTCAATGTAAATTCGTCTTTGCTTCTAATTTCGTATTGAAGCTAAAAGCAAAAATCTTACTTCTAACTCAAATAATAGAAAACCTTATTTGTCACCCAAGTAAGAATAAAAAAATTCAGAAAAGCATTTCAAAGCAAAGACATTAAATACACCACAAAATATCCCAAGTAAATGCTATCCAGTTTTTTTTGAATGACTTAAACTCATTATAGATGCTGGGATCTAAACTACTTCTTTAGTGAACCTGACAAAAGTTATTAATTACAATACCATTTAAACGATGGGGGCCAAAACCTAAACTCAATTAAATATTACTCAACCATTAATTGTAATATTTAATTTTAAATTATGGCCAGGCACAGTGACTCACATCTGTAACCCCAATACTTTTGAAGGCCAAGGTCGGGGATCACTTGAGGCCAGGAGTTTGAGACCAGCCTGGGCAACATAGTGAGACCCCCATGCCTATAAAAAGTGTTAAAAATAAGCCAAGTGCAGTGGCTCATGCCTGTAGTCCCGCTACTTGTGAGACTGTGGCAGGAGGCTCATTTGAGCCCACAAGTTCAAGGCTGCAGTGAGCCCTGACTGTGCTACTGCACTCCAGCTTGTGCAACAGAGTCTCGGGGAAAAAAAGAAACAAAATAAATTATGATTAATCTTGAAGATTATTTTTAATGCAAACAAAATGTTAATGTCAGGCATGGTAGCGTGTGCCTGTGGTCCCATCTACTCTGGAAGCTCGCTTGAGCATGGGAGGTTCAGGCTGCAATGAGCTGTGATCTCACCACTACACTCTAGCCTTGGTGAAAGAAAATTACTTTCTTTTTTAAAAAAATTTATTTTATTTTACCTTATTTTGAGACACAGTCTCACACTTTCACCCAGGTTGGAGTGTAGTGGCATATTCTCGGCCCACTGCAACCTCCACCTCCTGGGCTCCAGCAATCCTCCCACTTCAGCCTCCTGAATGGCTAATTTTTGCATTTTTTTTTTTTTTTTAATTTTTGCATTTTTGTAGAGACGAGTTTCGCCCTGTTGCTCAGGATGGTCTCCAACTCCTGAGCTCAGGCGATCCACCTGCCTTGGCCTCCAAAAGTGCTAGGATTACAGGCCTAAGCCATCATGCCCAGCCAAAAATTCCTTTCTTTAATAATATTGCATCCAATTTGAAACCCTGTCTCAAAAAAAAAAAAGTGCTTGTAATTTTATAATTCAAAAAATGAACCTACTTATTTTATGAACATGAAATCTGAGAAAAACACAAGATAGTATGGTTGTTCAAAATATCTACAATATAATGTCAAGTACTGTCAGTAATGTAAATGAAGTGTAAAACTGTGCTAGAAACCTAATACGCAGCATGGCATATTAAAGGATTTAAAACTATGCGGAAACATACTGCCTAGGAGCAAGGCATTATGAAATTTCTGACATATTTCCCTAACATTAAAAGAACATACTTTATTTAAAATGGCTTTAGTTTCTGTAATTTTCCAAGGCATAAGCACTGAAGAACAGAGTCACACTGTTCTGTGTGACTCTTCCAAGCCCTCAACTCATGAGTAGCCTCAGTTCTCAACCCTGACTACACATTAGATTCACTATCTGGAGATGAGGCAGGTACCAGAGTGCTGGTTTTTAAATGCTTCCCAGTAGGCTGATATATAGCCAAAGGAAATCATAAGATAAAGAAAAAAGGAAGGAGTTAAATTGTTTGTACCTGTCCTATTTCAAAACAAATTATCTACAATGAGCCATTTCTTATGTAATGATTGCTTTCTACAGTAAATACTACACATTTATATACTGAAGTTTCACTATACATTGATATACACCCTACATACTAAAGGAGTGGTATGGAAGAGAAAGAAATTGTATGGAGGAAAGATGATCAAAATGTGACTAAAAAAACACAACTTTATTAAAGCCAGTAACTGGCATAATAATGAACAGATTTAGGTTCTGTATTTTGTTTCCCCACTGTTTAAGAGAACAGCTAAGCTATGATTTGTTACTCCATCTCCTATGGAGGAAATTGCCTTCTTTAATAATGTTGCATCCAATTATTTACCTCGCTGATGTATATAATACATATTTCTTTTACCTCTCCACCTAATGCAGGTATCTCTACATCAGTATTGGAACCCTCTAATAACACGACTTTTATCCCAACTGTAGCAAATGAAGGAGGAAAGCACTGGACTGTGTCAGAAGTCAGGGCTCTAATAGACATCTGGTCTGATAAAAGCATACAACGACAACTAGAGGGAACAGTGAGAAATAAAAGGATATTTGAACAAATTGCTGGCAAGCTTCAGAAATTTGGAATAGAGAGAGACTGGAAGCAATGCAGAACAAAGTACAAAAACCTAAAACATGAATACAAGATTGTAAGAACAGCACAGGACCTAGGCATGACTAAGAGTATGAAATTTTTTACTGAGTTGGATGCCATTCTGGGACACAATAAAACAGAAAAGTCACGAGGCCAGGAATCCCAAGATGGAGAACCTGTCACAGAATGTGCCAACATAAAAATGGGAGAGGACCAGACAGGTAGGAAGGTGAAGAAAAGTAATCTTAACATCATGTTACATCATACAGGTTCAAGGATCCCTTTTCCAAAATGCCTGGGATCAGAAGTGTTTTAGATTTAGAATTTTTTCAGATTTTAGAATATCTGCATATACGTAGTGAGGTATCTTAGAAAGGACACCCAAGTCCAAACATGAAATGTTCGTGTGTTTATGTGTTTATATATATAGCTTGAAGCTAATGTTATGCAGTATTTTAAAAAATTTTGTGCATGAAACAAAGTTTGGACTGTACCCATCACATGAGGTCAAGTGTATGATTTTTCCCATGTGGCATCATGTTGGTGCTCAAAATGTTTCAGATTTTGTAGCATTTCAGATTTCAGATTAGAGATGCTCAACCTGTATTGAGAATGTCCAGTACCATAAGAAGAATATTATATATGTCAGTTATATAGGTTTCATTACATGCTATTTGACAAGCTAGCTGAATTTACTATGAAACAGATTTACTACATATTTGATCTCCCCCAGAACAGAAACAGTATAGTTATACTAAAAGGAGGAAATAAAACTGGATTCCCAAAGTAAAGTTTAACATAGATCAATTTTAATAAAGCAAATATGCAACCCCAGATGGCAGAAGTTAAAGTAAATTTTCATACTAATTGTGGTACAAATGAGTAGAATAGAAAAAGGGCACTAAATAATTTAGAAAACTATAAAATACATGAGACTTTCTTAGAAGTAGTAAGTTTCTCTGGGACCCATCATAAATATCTTTAAAATATATCTAAACCAAAGGATTGAGATATAGTACATACACACAAAGATATGATAGCATGAAATAAACTGAACGAGCTCTAGACCACGATTCAGGAAATCAAAGTTCTAAGGCTCTGTAGAACCTCAAGTAATCAAATGTCTCCTCTAGACCAGGGGTCCCCAACACCCGGACTGATACTGGTCCGTGACCTGTTACGAACTGGGCTGCACAGCCAGAGGTGAGTGGTGGGCGAACTTCATCTGTATTTACAGACACTCCCCATCATGCATATTACAACCTGAGTGTCGCCTCCTGTCGGATCAACAGCAACATTAGATTCTCACATTAGATTAGAACACTGGAGAAGCAAAGACTGTTGTGAACTGTGCAAGAGAGGGATCTAGGTTCTCTGCTCCTTATGAGAATCTAATGCCTGATGATCTGTCACTGCCTCCCATCACTCCCAGATGAGACCATCTAGTTTCAGGAAAACAAGCTCAGGGCTCCCACTGATTCTAGATTATAGAGAGTTGTATAATTATTTTATTATATATTATAATGTCATAATAATAGAAATAAAGTGCACAATAAATGTAACGCATTTGAATCACCCCCAAACCACAGCCCCTGCACTCCCTGGTCCATGGAAAAACTGTGTTCCATGAAACCAGTCCCTGATGCCAAAAAACGCTGGAGACTGCTGCTCTAGACCTAACTCCAAAATGGGAAGGAGTGACCAAGATGGTCTTAAAGACCTCTACTAACCACAGTGTCTCCAGATTCTATTATCTGGCTTAAATACTGAGAGTGTGTGTCCAGGGAATAGACAGTTAAGAATGGAAATGCTGGTGAGAAATTTCAAAATATTTCACTGGTGGGCAAGAAAGAAACTGGTATGCTAGAGAACTATACATTTCCCCTAGTAAGATGACTACAGATAAAGCAACCCAACAGCAGGGGCATGGTATCTTCATACAGTCATTGCTGGAGATGCAGCTAAAGATTATTCCATTAGTTATGTCAGAAGATCTAGAGACTAGATACATACCCAATATTTACAGTGATGAAAAGATGCTTAAGGGTAGGGAATCTAACCTATGGAAAAGCAAATATTTAATATTAGGGTCCCTTTAAAAAGGGAAATACTACATTCGGATTTAAAGCATGATTCTGGGCCAGGCGCTGTGGCTCACACCTATAAAAGCTGAGGTGGGTGGATCACTTGAGGCCAGGAGCTGGAGACTAGCCTGGCCAGCATGGCAAAACCCCATCTCTACTAAAAAATACACAAAAATTAGCAGGCATGGTGGCGCATGCCTGTAATCCCAGCTACTCAGGAGGCAGAGGCTGTAGTAAGCCGAGATTGCACCACTGCACGACAGCCTGGGCAACAGTGTAACTGGGCAACTCCACCTCAAAAACAAATAAATAATCTAAATAAATAAAACACGATTCTGAAATAAATTTAAAAAGCTAATATATATATCCCCTTATGTTCATACAGCCATTGCTGGAGATGTAGCTGAAGGTGATTCGGTCAGTAATAAGTCAGAAGACATAGGAGATACAGATACAAAACAAAGTCCTGACACAGGTAAAAGAATATTCTGATTTTTATTTGGTTTTTGTTTGTTTTGTTTTTGTGTGTGACAAAATAGATACACAAAATGCTATTATAAGACAGACACTGCTATGGCCTGAGCTGTGTTCCTCCCACCAATATTCATATATTGAAGCCTTGACTCCCCATGTGATATAGTGGCAGACAGGGCCTTTGAAGGATAACTAGCTTTCCATCAATGAGGTCATGAGAGTGGTGCCTCATGGTGGGTTTTAGATTTCATATCTATATATTAATAGATGCTACCGTACTAAGAAATTATGTTATAACATTGTATGAATTACTGTTGGATCACAACTCAAAACACATAAATGGAAGGTGAAAATAATTAATGGAAGTAATATTCCCCATGGCTGTTTTTCTCCAAGTGTAGCAGCATCAGCATTAACTGAGAACCTATTTAAAAGGCAAATTCTTGGGCCCCATCCAGAATCAGAAACTCTGGTGTTGGGGCTAGCAATCTGTTTTAACAAGTCTTCCAGGTGATAATGATGCAAGCAAGTTTGAGAACCATTACCCTCTGGTATAAGGCACTAAGGGTGTGGAGGTGAGATTGTGTGCTTGCTGATAGTTTACATCTTCTACACAAACCCACATTGGGGAGGAGATCACCACGCCTCCAAGCTGAAGCTCATCTGTTAAAAAGACCTGTACCTAGCCTTTCAGTCCAAAGCTTCACACAACTTTACAAAGAGTAAAGCTCAATGTTAATTTAACAAACTAGTTAATAAAATTTTCCTATACTCCTGGCAAACTTATTTGCTTGATTTACCAGATAGGACAGATTCTTTAGTTTCACAGCAATGGCCTGTCATTAAGAGTTAAAAATCTAATTATGCCAGGTGCAGTGGCGCTCCCCTGTGTAATTCCAGCTTCTTGGGATGCTAAGATTGAAGCATCACTTGAGCCTAGGAGTTTGAATCCAGCCTGGGCAACACAGCAAGAACCCATCTCTATTTTTTTTTTTAAACCCATAAAAATAAAATTAAAAATAGGAAGAAAATAAAATAAAATTTAAAATAGGAAGAAAATCAGATTACTAAAAATAAAATTTAAAATAGGAAAAAAATCAGATTACACTGTTTAATAAGAAAAAAAGATTTAAAAAGTTAAGAGCTTTAGTATTAAGATTTCAGCTTGTTAGTCCTCTGGAAACTTAAGTACAACATCAAGATAATTTTTTTCTTTTTTTTTTTTTTTTGAGACGGAGTCTCGCACTGTCACCTAGTGTAGTGCAGTGGCGCAATCTCCATCTCCCGGATTCAAGTAATTCTCCTGCCTCAGCCTCCGGAGTAGCTGGGACTACAGATGTGTGCCACCACGCCCAGCTAATATTTTTGTATTTTTAGTAGAGACGGGGTTTCACCATGGTGGCCAGGATGATCTTGATCTCTTGATCTCGTGATCTGCCCTCCTCAGCTTCCCAAAGTGCTGGGATTACAGGCATGAGCCACTGTGTCCAGTCAATAATTTTTTATATGTAAAAGGAAAAGATCAAGTCAGAAGTACAAGGTTTTTTTTTTTTTTTTGTAAACATGCCAAATATGAAATATTTGGAATATATTTAGAAAATATGAAACAGGACAAATACAGTTATTCTAGAAATTATATTAAACTGACACATGAAAATACAAAGTTCAAAGATATAAATCCACAAGGATCTCAGCAGCTAAATACATAAGAAAAAAAAACTTCAACAGGCAAGGATTTTAGGTACACCTGCAATAGATACCTATTGATTCACAAATTGCCACTCCCCTATTAGGAAGAATGTAGAATGTAGTATTGAGGTATAAAACTATGGATTATTTATCTTCAGGGAAAAAAATTCACATGAAATAGTCTTTCTTTAAAATAGCAACATGTATTTACATGAAACACTCTTTCTTTAAAACAACAAATGTAAAAACATGTAAAAACAGAGGTCACTTCATTTTTATTTATTTCACTGATGAAATTTTGAAATTGGAGTTGCTATTATTAATAATAGCTCCATATTGTTAACTTCAACATCTGGCCAAAAATCTGGTCCCCCAAAAGTATTCTCTTTGCTATCTTAAATGTATGCTATTAAGCCATAAGCTTCTCCTTCCTTCAAATGAAAATCCAGCTAGAGCTGTAGACCCCTTGGATTCTGAATATTTAGATCGGTTCCCAATTTGGAACTTCTGGAGATTTTGATCCAATAGGTTGGTGTCAGTTCAGGCATCCATACTTTTCAACGATTCTCAAGCACTGGAAACCATAGCTAGGTTCTCATGCTCAGACCAGCAGAGGTCTGATTAACACAGAAGTTTCAATTTGATTCCATTCAGGGAAAAAAAAATTGCTAATGCCAATAAATTATCACTTAAAAATGACTAATGGAATATGAAGGAAATTAATCACGGAGAAGAATCATAGACTCTTCAGACTATTCCTACTACATTAAGTAAAAAGAAATGGCCCAAGAAAATTGAATTAACTAGTTCTTTGGATCTAAAACATAATTGATTTTCCTCCCCGGTCTGAGGCACAAGCAAGAGAGGATAAAAGGAATCAAGATTAAATGAAAGTCGCCAGGAGAATTTAAAAAAAAAAAAAGGAATCAAGAAGTTATCAAAGGAGAAAGGACTCTGCCAAAAGAGAAAATTTGTGTTTGACAATCTTATCACATACCTATCTCTTCTGAGTCAGAGAAACAAAATTGACTTAATTCATCTCCAATACACTGCCATTTATATGAGTTGGAATGCCTCTTTATCTGTGCATTCTTGCAAGCCACTGCTTTCTAGTATAGGACAGTCACAGTTAAACCATTTTAGGTCAGAGGAGTGGAGCCAGGCACACTAAAATGAGCACAGAAGTTCCATGGTAGTAAAATATATCCTATTAGAGGAGGTCACACTGATCTTGAGCCTAAAAATCACAAGTGAAATACCTCAATGTTTACCTAAGAATAACCCTAAAAATACCCATTTTTCTTTTGATTGTAGTAAAATGTATTTCCAAAATTAAAATCTTTACTATTTCCATAATTCAAGAAATTCACAATGAGATGGCCAGCAGGGGGCATTAAGGAATCTATTGTTATCATCTCAAAGGGTATGCCAAGAAATATGTTTTCTTCGAATTCATTTATCTCTTTCAAAAGAAAGAAATTGAAAATAATTTTCCGTAAACATGGAATATTTAAACACTTTTATATATTTTGCATCCATTATAATTTGTATAATCTTAGCAGGAAAATTGTTACATAAATTAATGTACTTTAGTCATATGAGACACGATATTACTGAGAACTTTTCATTTTAACCTAATTGTAGATCCAGATAGAGAACAACTGATTTCTAAAACTTCAGAAAACCCAAGACTTATAAATGTGAAAAAAGAAAGCTCAGACATAGGTGTACTGCTAAACTTAAATATAGGCAACTTGTTAATTATGAAGGCATGATTTTTCTAATTTGTACTGTTGATAGTATTTAATAACCTTTTAGGAAGCTGTGGCATAATAAAGAATATATCTAGTTTTGCTCTCCTGTTCCAGGAACAAAGCATCAACAACCTTTGGAATTTCCAAAGACATAAGCATCTTTGTTATGTTAATGAGGCTACTCTAGGTGGGTTCCCAGATCGCTTCAGCATGGATGGAGGCTAGTCACTGAAGATCAACCATGTGATGAGGGTTGGAGCTTTGTGCCAGTGCAACCTCCAGAGAGGAGAGTGAGGCTGGAGGCTGACTTAATCATATCATAAAACTCTGGCTCAGAGGAAGATTTGGAAGCTTGGTGCCATGCAGTTCATGTTTCCTTAGTTCCCTCATAACTTCCCAAAGTCATCACTGCATTAACCTGTACACTTGACCTGTCTTTACTTTTCTATTCTCAAACCTCAGCAACTCTTCTTTTTTGGTATGCAATTTACATTTATTAATTACATTTATTAATTTACATTTATTAATTACACCAAATTAAAGCATATAACCCTGTGGTTTTTAGTATATTCACAGTTAAACAATAATCACCAGTATCCCATTTTAGGACATTTTGATCACCCCACAAAGAAATCCCATATTCATTAGTAGTTTAACTGCTTGTCCACACCTCAGTAAACCCTGGCAACCACTAACCTACTTTCTGTTTCTATGGATTTGCCTATTCTGGACATAAGTTGTACCCTCCAATATATAGTTTTTTGTGTCTGGCTTCTTTTGTTTCATAGTCTATCCATGTTGTAGCCTATATCGATATTCCATTCCTTTTTATGGCTGAATAATATTCCAATTTATGAATATACTTTATTTTGTTTTCCCATTCATCAGATGACAGATATTTGAGTTTCTGCCATTTTCTGGCTCTTATGAATACTGTTGCTATAAACATTCTGGTACAATTATTTTTCCATTTTGGTAAATTATACATAAAATTTACCATTATACCCATAAGTACATTCACATTGTTGTGCAAACATCACCCCTCTCCATCTCCAGAACTTTTTCATCGTGCCAAACTGAAACTTCTGTAGCCCGTTAAACAATAACACCCCTATCCCAATTCTCCTTAGCTAGTGGTAACCACTATTCTCCTTTCTGTCTCTGTGAATTTGACTATTCTAGGTACCCCATATAAGTGGAATCATACAGTATTTGTCCATTTGTGCCTGGCTTATTTCACTTATCTTCAAAGTGCTTCCATATTGTAGTATTTATTAGAATTTCCTTTCTTTTTAAGGCTAAATAATATTCCATTGTATGGATACACCATTTTGTTTATCTGTTCATCCACTGATAGTCATCTGGGTTGTTTTTGCCTTTGGCTATTTTGAATACTGCTGCTATGAATGTGGGTGTATAAATATCTGCTTGAGTCCCTGCTTTCAATTCTTTTGGGTATATACCCAGAAGTGGAATTGCTGATCATATGGTAATTTGTGTTCAATTTTTTCAGGACCAGCCATACTGTTTTTCCACAGTAGGTACATGTTTTTATGTGAACATGTTTTCGATTCTCCTGGGTTTATATGTAGGAGTGGAAATGCCTTGTCATATAGCATATGCTTAAACTTTCTGAGGAACTACCTGTTTTCCACCATGACTTCACCATTTTACATTTCTATCACCATCTTTTAAAAATTATATCCAGGCTGGGCGTGGTGGCTCACGCCTGTAATCCCAGCACTTTGGGAGGCCGAGGCGGGTGGATCATGAGGTCAAGAGATCGAGACCATCCTGGTCAACACGGTGAAACCCCATCAATACTAAAACTACAAAAAATTAGCTGGGCATGGTGGCGCGTGCCTGTAATCCCAGCTACTCAGGAGGCTGAGGCAGGAGAATTGCCTGAACCCAGGAGGCGGAGGTTGCGG